TAACCACGCCTTTAGGTATGATGGAGTATATTTATATACCGTAGTCATGTGAGAGATTATGGCTTTCACCTTCAATGATGGATCATTATTGACGAGAGGTGGGATTTCTTGACATATGAGATCATAATTTAGTTTCTGGTGATCCTGTGATTGAGTAAAATTGACGCACGTGTGGGTGGACATAGAACCTATGACCCAACAATCACCTCTTAATCTGTATGATGCAGTGAGCTTGAACATACAATCTGGGTGGACACACCTGAGCTTATAAATTTATGGATTTAAACGATCTACCTTAAAATCGACCGAGTTGAGCATGTGAAACTTTTTTATGGCTCAGATACAATCTTCTCTATTATGAAATTTGCCTTTCTCTTTTAAGTTTTCTTCCGACTGCATATACAGATTGAAAAATAAATCAGATGACGGTTCATCTCCTCCCATGTTGAAGTTTCTCATGACGGTTCATCTCTTCTACAAACTCTTTCATCATCTCATACAATTTCAACTATGGCTCTTCTCACAATGGGCAATTCTCACAGAGGCACAAGGAACAACATTGCAGCATTTGTAAGTTTTTATAAATTCTCAAATTTTCTTGTATACTTATAAATTTTTTATAATATTATTAATTATTTATACATCTTATGGACTCTTACACTTTTTATATTTTGAATTTAGGATACTAAAAGATTCAGAATTCGGTCATACAACTACATTGCTCCCGACCCGCTGATCGTACTCTATCTCGAATATGCAGGTTTCAGAAATGTTATAAAGATCTCCAACTGCACGATTGATTCAAAGTTCATACTTGCAATGTTGGAAAGGTGGAGACCCGAGATACACACATTTCATCTATCGATAGGTGAATATACTGTCACACTAGAGGACGTGCACATGTTATTGGGTATCCCTTTCGATGGTAAGGCGGTTAACGGGTCGGTTCAACATCCCAATTCTCTGCGCAAGGAATTGTTGGGCAAGGATATGGTTGAAGGTGGTGGTGCTAGAGGCCAAGGTATACTACTTACTGAACTCAAAAATCATTATGCGACTCTGGAGTTGAACGAAAATTCCTTCGAACTAGCTAAAGTAATAAAAACTAGAAATTATATAATGATACTTTTTGGAACCTTTTTATTTCCCGAAAGTACGGGGAATAGTGTAAATTTCATGTACTTAAATTTACTTAAAAACTTTGAAAAAACTAGAAAGTATAGTTGGGGTTCTGCTGTTTTAGCCCATCTATACAGTTCCTTGTGTAAAAATTCAACCAAAGAAAAATGTACTTCTTATGGATGCGCTTTCTTACTTCAAGTCTGGGGTTGGTAGAGAATGGAGTCCCTAAACCCCGTCAACAACAACACATTCGTTTTTCTATACGCAACAAAGTAAGTCAATAACTAATATCATGTATTATTCATCTGTTCACCAAATGTATGATAAAAATAAACTATTTTACAATTCCTTTAGGTACTGCGTGACGGGTATGGATTACGACAACAATCCAAGATTCAATGTCGCTCTATATCACAATCTATTGGATCACCTTGGCCCGGATGATGTACGTCATACCTTTGAACTTTTCTACTTTTAAATTATTTATTTATTAAGTTTTTATTAAGCTGATTTAATTTTATCCACAGTTTATCTGGAGACCATATTTGGGTTTGGACCATGAACCAAACTTCGAGGATGCAATAATTTGGAGCGCAAAGACTGCAATCATATGGTTCAATGTTGTGGAGATGCACCACATCGACCGTATCAAGATGCAGTTTGGAATGCATCAAGAGATACCCTGCGATCCGACTTGTTTGTCCCTGTGGCATCTCAAAAGGGTCGACGCCTAATGGGGTCTTACCAATTGGAAAGATTTTGCTCCAGAATGGTGTAAGATGTGGCAGAGGCGTCACCGACATGTCTTGCAATTTCTAGTTTTCCTCAACCATAGTAATATGCGACACACAGATTAATATTTAGCTTGGTACAGATCGATTAGTAATCCAAAAATGCACGTGTCTCATCCAAGGTATTTAGTTGACCCACAAACACAATGCGCACAATCCTCATTTTCCCAACAACAAACCCAACACACATCAACCTCCCACCAACCTCCCCGACGAAACAGATCCACAACCACCCAACCACAATCACCACCACAATACAAATACACTCACATGTCCCACAATCACCACCTCAATACCAATATCCCCATATGTCCTACATCCAACCACAATTTCAATCACAATACCAATACACTCGCATGCCCCACACACAATTCCAGTCTTCTCCATATCCCAATATGGGGCCCACAACATCTAACCTTAGCCCTGATCTGGGATTTTCTGAAGAATATGACCCAACCGTCCCAACTTACCATCAACCACCACATCACCAAAGCATCCAACATTCTCAATACCAAACACCCCAGGATTCATTTCCTTTCTACCCCCTTACTCAGACGACCGGTGCTATAGACCAACCATGGAACCCTATCCACCACCAAGACGATCAAACTTTGAGGGTATGAGTATCCGACTGTACCAAAGCAGATCTTCTAGATATGAAGATCTGACCGATTTCATGGATCCATAACGCATTGAGTTCGCTGAGCCATCGACCCTGCCACAACAGAAAACGCGACAAAACCCACCACGGGACAGGCGAAGACGCGGATGCAGAACCGCGGGTCGTTACCGGGTTCCGGGGGACCACTAATTATTTTGTATTTTTTTATGTAATTGTTTTGTGTAAATAAAAAGTCGAATTTTCGTGATCCTATATCGTTTACGTAATGTCCCGCATTTAAAATAAAAACGAAAAAAATTGAGCCTCCTTTGCACTAAGGCGCCATCTCACTTGACTTAGGGCATACTTTTAACACCTAGGCGCCAAGTGAGATGGCGCCTCCTTTTAAATTAAGGCGTAGGCGCCAATTGAGATGACTCATCTATTGTGAGATTTTCTAAAACATGATTATTTGTGTAACTTTCTCCGAAACATGGTTATTTGCAACAAAAAAAATTTCAACTTCATTATTAATATATATATATATATATATATATATATATATATATATATATATATATATATATATATATATATATATATATATATATATATATATATATATATATATATATATATATATATATATATATATATATATATATATATATATATATATATATATATATATATATATATATATATATTAAAATATTATAAAAACATCATATTTATGTTAAAGTAGATCATAAATAATTATGTTATGTTAATGTATTGTTGTTTGTATTTGTTCTTTCATATATTTGTTTTTAAATTGAAATTTACTATTATAAAATCAAAACAATAATTGCATAAATGCATTTACGCAGAAAATATTTGTCACTTATAAATTGATTACATATATTTTTACACAAAAATAGGAAAATATTTTTTTTGTCAATAATTTATAAATCATATATATTGAATAAATATTTTTATATTTTTTCTTTTAAAAATAATAAATTGGTTAAATAATATTGTCTTTTTATTTTTTTCATTCACACCAGTACTCGTACGAACGCATGAGTATCCAGATTAGAATTCGTGCAAACTTACTAGTTCTTACATTTTTTATACAATTAAGAAAAATAAAACTAAATATATTTAATATAATGTATGAATTCAAACATGGGCAAATATTTATTTATGCTACTAATTTTTATTTATACAGTTAAAATAATATTTACAAATACTATGTTATTAGTTGATATTAACGAAAACATGAAGTTACTTATAAAAATATTAAATATTAACGAGAACATAAAGTTACTGATCAAAATATTGAATATTAACGGGAACTTGAAGTTATTGATCAAACTATTGAATATTAACGGGAACATGAAATTACTAATTAAAATAATGAATATTAACGGAAACATGAAATTATTGATCTAATTATTTAATATTAACGGGAACATGAAATTACTAATCAAAGTATTGAATATTAACGGAAACATGAAGTTACTGATCAAAATATTGAATATTAACGAAAATATTAAATTACTGATAGAAATATTGAATATTAACGTGAATATGAAGTTACTAATCAAAATATTGAATATTAACGGAACATGAAATTACTGATCAAAATATTTAATAATAACAGAAACATGAAATTGCTTATCAAAATATTGAATAATAATGAGAACATGAAATTACTGATCAAAATATTAAATAATAATAGAACAATTTTACTATTGATTTAAATATTTTTGACAAAAATTTAAAACAAAAATAATATTTATACAATATATATATATATATATATATATATATATATATATATATATATATATATATATATATATATATATATATATATATATATATATATATATATATATATATATATATATATATATATATATATATATATATATATATATATATATATATATATATATATATATATATATATATATATATATATATATATATATATATATATATATATATATATATATATATATATATATATATATATATATATATATATATATATATATATATATATATATATATATATATATATATATATATATATATATATATATTATTGTTTCAAATATTTTTATATATTGAAAGAAATATAGGCACCGATTTATTATCTCATTTAAAAAAATTATTTTATTTTTATTATATTTTAAAAACAAATACGCGTACCATATCGGTATCCGTGTGAACGCAAGGGTATCCCACTTGAATTTGACAAACATATTATTCTGTGTTAAAAAGCAAGGTTTAACTTTTCTCCAACCATCATCTTTAACATAAACAGAATTTGGTTATCATTGCAATTTCTTTCAAATGACAAACCAGTAATAAAGTTAAATCATTGTAATTTACCTGATGAAGACCATCATTATTCTTTTATAAATACACCCATTACAATGTAACCAAAGATTGAATATTCTACCTAGTTGTTTAACCTTTTTTGATGATGCTTTTCAAGAGTTGGATTTTTTCAATGCTCCAGCATTCAAGTACATATAAAACTGCTTATCAGAGAAATTTGATAATGTTGGTACAGGAGTATATCCAGAATATCGCCCATCAATCTTAGCCAAACAAATATCATTGATACACTTCAAAACATCACTCTTTTGCATAATTGGCTGAGCTGTGTATTCCACCAATGGCATCCACTGCAGTTAAGAACAATTCGAAGAAGTTTATGATCCATTAAGTATTGAACATTTTAGAAACCAGAATGTTTAGCTTTAAGCGTTGAACTAAAACTAACGTACCTGTGCACCCTCTAGCTCTAAGTTCTGAATTTGGATCTCGGAAGAAAGGGGCCGCAACATACACAAAAAGAATAAATCTGACTTCGCAAAGAATGAATTATGACTTTGTCTGTTGATCAGATAATCAGATGAAAGGAAAAAAGAATGCTCAGTCACATAAATGTTTCACCGACAAAAATCTATGAAACTTCAAGAAAGAATAGATTACTACTTTATCAAGAAAAAATAGCAATAAATAAATGGTCTAAGCACAAATTTTCCCATAGACAATGAAGTATTTATACTCATTAGAAGAAGAGGTTACAACAGTGAAGTATTTATACTCATATGGCTACAGTACACTATAGGCATGCATGCACTACCATGCACAATATACTTGTCCTAGAATAATAACTGTTATAAACACTTATAACAGTTTGTTGTAACAGAAAACTGAAAAAGGGAAAAAGTTAGTTAGCATCAGCTTGGTTCAATATCCTCCCACAAGTTGAAGGTTGGTAGATGTTAATCAACTTCAACTTGGCTAATAGTGCATGGAATGGTTGTGGAAGGAGTGTCTTGGTGAATAGATCAGCAAGTTGATCTTTAGACTTGACAGGCAACAGTTTTAAGATTCCTTTGCTTTGTTTCTCTCGTACGATATGACAGTCTACCTCCAAGTGCTTCGTGCGCTCATGAAAGACGGGGTTCGAAGCAATATGGATTGCACTCTGGTTATCACAATAGAGAACAGGGTTTTGGTGCAAGGGATGTGCAAATCTTGTAGAAGATATAACAACCATTGAAGTTCACAAGTGGCTGCTGCAAGGACCCGATACTCAGCTTCTGAGGAAGATCGTGATACAGTTAATTGTTTCTTGGGTCACCATGAGATCAAGGATCTGCCAAGGAAGAAACATTGACCCGAGATGGGTCGACGTGTATCGATACACCCTGCCCAATCAGCATCCGAATAGCCATGCAGTTGTAAAGTAGAGTCACGAGGAAGAAGAATGCCACGAGCTGGATAGGACTTGAGATACCTTAATACCCAACATGCAGCATTAAAATGATTGATTGTGGGGTGTGAAAGGTATTGGCTCAACTGCTGAGTGCAAAACGTAACATCTAGTCGTGTGACATTTAGATAAAGGAGTCTGTCTATGAGTCTTCTATATGAAGGAACATCATGATAAGGTTCACTGGGATCTTGATGTATTTAAAGGGAGGCATCTGCAGGTGTAGAAACAGGTTTGGAATCCAGAAATCCTGAATCTGCTATTAAGTCTAAGCAGTATTTCCGTTGATAGAGCAAGATGCCTGCATTGGAGTGTGCAACTTCAATACCCAAAAAATATTTTAACTGTCCCAGGTCTTTGATTTTGAACGTAGAGTCCAAAGCTGCTTTAATTTGTTGAAGTTCCTTCATGTCATTGCCTGTAATAATGACGTCATCGACATATACAAGGAGTACGGTGATGGAAGATTGATTGTGTTTTACAAACAATGAATGATCTGATGTAGCTTGTGTGAACTGTTGATCAATAAGGAAGGCTGTGAGTCGCTCATACCATCTTCTACTAGCCTGTTTGAGGCCATATAGAGACTTGATAAGTTTGCAAACCTGATGAGGTTTACTTGTAGATACACCCGGTGGAATGACCATGTATACGTCCTCTTCAATTTCTCCATGCAGGAAGGCGTTATTCACGTCGAGCTGATAAATGTGCCAATGTTTGCATGAAGCTAAAGCAATGACAGTTCTCACAGTGGTGATCTTAGCAACTAGGGAGTATGTATTAAAATAATCGAGACCCTCAATCTGATTATAACCCTTGGCTACTAAGCGTGCTTTGAATCTCTCAATAGAGCCATCAACTAGGTATTTAATTTTGTATACCCAGCGACATCCAATGGGTTTGACTCCTGGTGGAATATCAACAATCTGCCAAGAACCATTTTTTTCGAGTGCTGAAAGTTCAAGCATCATAGCTTGTTTCCAGCATTCATGCTTGGAGGCTTCAATGTAAGACTTAGGTTCAACATTAGAAACTAAGGACATAGCATAAGAAGAATGTGATGGAGACAAATGTTCATGAGAGATATAGTTAATAAAGGATATGAAATACCTGTGGAAGACTGATTTGTGGTAGTAAGAGAGTTGCATATGTAATCTTGCAAATAAGAGGGATGTTGCCTCATTCTTGAAGATGTTCTAGGTGTAGTAGGGTTAGGGGCAATATCTATGGCAGTAGGGGGCAATATCTATGGCAGTAGGGTCGTTGGACATAGGTGGATCAATGATGTTAGTTGTGTTAAGGTGGGAAGTGGTAATATCATTCTCAAGTGGTTTTGTGGGAGGTGCTTCAGTATATGGAGCATTGTTATCTGAGGTGATAGGTTGTGTAGAAGGGAAGTATGACCAGGAAGAGGATAATGATGGATTACTTGATTTGTAAGGCAAAATGTGTTCATGGAATATGACATTTCGAGATACAAAAATTTCAGAAGTATGGAAGTCCATTAGGATATAGCCTTTCATACCAGACTTGTATCCAAGAAATAAAGATTTTCTAGCACGAGGGTCAAGTTTGGTTCTATGGCTTTGAAGTGTTGAAGCATAGCAAAGAGAGCCAAACACTTTAAATGTTGCTAAATCAGGGATAGTGTTATGTAACATCTGGTAAGGTGATATATTGTGAAGCACATGGGTAGGAACTCTATTAATGATGAAGTTAGCAAACTGAACAACATAGGACCAGGTAGTTTGGATTGGTATAAAAGAGCTCTTCCTACATTCAAAAGGTGTTCATGTTCTCTTTCGACACGGCCATTTTGCTGTGGGTTTTCAACACCGGATCTATGGTGTATAATGCCTTTGTATGAGTAAAATTGGTGAAGTAAAAATTCAAGTCCATTGTCTGTTCGAACAGTTTTGGGTGTGATGTGAAATTGGTTAATGACCATGGTGATAAAATTTTAAACTTGTGTGGATACTTCAGCTTTAGATTTAAGGAGAATGATCCATACGAATCTAGTGTGATCATCAAGAATGGTTAGGAAATATTTGTGGTTATGCATAGAAGGAGTAGATAGAGGACCCCATATATCAAAATGTATAAGGTCAAATTTTTAGGAAGCAGTAGAAGAACTTGAATGAGATGGCAATTTTCTTTGTTTAGCTAAGTGGCAAATATCAGAAGTAGCATGATTATCAAATTCAAAAGAAGAATACAGTTTAGACATTTGAGCTATTCTCTTTGGAGATACATGACCAAGTCGGAAATGCCATAATGCAGATTTGGGAATTACAATATTTTGGCTATGTGGTAAAGGAAATGAGTCTTTAACATTGCATGTGTTAGCTTGGATAGGGAGGTTGGGTGGGTGAGTAGGGTTGAATGCTTCAGAATGAGAGTCCTTTATTTGCAAGATGTACAATCCATTCTCCTTTCTACCCAAATCAATCGTCCTCAGAGAATTCATTTCCTGCAAGTGACATTGATCAACAGAAAAATTAGCAGAACAATGCAAGTTATGACACAATTTTGAAATGAAAATTAGATTCAAGTTGAATTCAGGTGCAAATAAAACATGGTTGAGATATAACACAGGTGTGAAACTGATATTGCCAGCATAGTGAACAATGGTGCAATTACCATTAGGAAGTGTGATCCGAACAGGTGTAATTTTATAATATGAACTAAACAAACTCAAAGATGAGCAAACATGATCATTGGCACCAGAATCTAAAATCCATGAATGTGAAAATGTGTTTATGTGGTAGTTTATGTTGCAAACAATACCTGAGGGCTGATCAAAGGCAATGTGGCTAGTGGAAACCTGATTAGATGTAGAACTGCTAGCAGATGCAGAGATACCTGAGGTTTGCAACAAGCTGATGAGTTGGTCATATTGAGCTTGTGTGAATGACATCTGATTAATGGTGTTGGGAGTATCTGAGATGGTTTCAGTTGAAGGAGTTTCCACTTGGCTTATATTCACAGATGCCCTATTCTTGTTAAAGTTGGGATGACCATGCTTTTGGTAACAAAAATCCAGTGTGTCCAGTTCTGTTGCAAAAGGTGCAAACACGAGGAGAGTGTTTTGGAGGGTAAGAACCACCTTTATGCTTAGCATCATATCTTTGTGCAATATTCACAAGAATGGATGCATCATCAACAGGTGTAATGTTCTAATGATGACTCTCTTCTTGAACAATAAGAGAACATATGCGATTCATAGAAGGTAAGGGATCCATCATCAAAACCTGAGTCCTAACAGCAGAAAAGCTATCATTCAAACCTGTGAGAAACTGGATAGCTTACTCCTCAAGTCTATGTTCTTGAGCCGTTTGTACAGCATGGCATCTACATCGATGTGCACATGTGCAGATAGGCAAAGGTCTGTGAGAGTTGAGCTCCTCCCATAAACCTTTAATCTCAAGAAAGTACTCCATGACAGATCGTGAGTTTTGTTTCAAACTATTGATGGTGGATCTTAGGGTTAGAATGCGAATACGATCAGCTTTAGAAAATCTCTCATGTAAATCTTTCCATGCATCAATAACATTTTCATGGAAAAGAATAGTAAAGGCAATTTGATCACTAACCGAATTTATGATCCAAGAGAGAATGGGGTGATTGCAACGTTGCCATTGAATGAAGTTGAGGTGATCTTCATCAAGAACTTCAGTAGAACCATCGATGAACTTAGTTTATTCTTGGCGCCCAAAGAACGTTGCATTGAGCGATTCCATGTGAGATAATTGGAATCATCGAGCTTGGGAGTGACAGTTACAGAATTAGGTCCGTCACTAGGGTGGATGTAGAAGATCGAATCAAGATCAAGGTGTGAATTTGGAGCAAGACGCGGAGGCATGTTGGATCGATGAGAAAGATGATGAGGGATAACAGAATTTCGGAAGAAAAAAAAGGAGAAGATGAAGATCAACGAAGAGATGAAGGAGATTCTTCAACAAAAATGATGAGCAATGAATGAGAAACGAGGTGTGTTCATTGATTGGGGCTTGACACCATATTATTAATACACAATGAACATGCTGGCAAAGTGAATTTCTCATTAGAAGAAGAGGTTACAACAGTGAAGTATTTATACTCATATGGCTACAGTACACTATAGGCATGCATGCACTACCATGCACAATATACTTGCCCTAGAATAATCACGGTTATAAACACTTATAACAGTTTGTTGTAACAGAAAACTGAAAAAGGGAAAAAGTTAGTTAGCATCAGCTTGGTTCAATAAAAAGTGAACATGTCAATATGAGATTTGAACCTTCTAACTCCATTTCGAAATCTCCATTTTCAATCATTGAAACTTCTGAATAGATAATATGTTCATACAAGTATGCTACCTGAATGCTAATACTTCAAGAAATTCTGAATCAACCTATAAAATTGAAAGAACCAAGTACTATTAGGTTTAAAGCAACTGAAAACTTCATGGACTAGCCTACTTGTGATTGTTACCGTGCATAATAATGACTTACTCCCGTCTCTTCTTTGACCTCTCTTACTGCTGCTACACAAATATCTTCTCCCTGTGTAAGTTAAACAAGTAGATTGACATAGTGTATTATCTTATACTAAAATAAGAAAGCTATCCATCATATTTACCTGATCAACAACTCCAGTAGGGAATTTCCAGACTCCGGTTCCCTGAAATTGTCCACTATTTTCTTTAACAACTAGTACCTAATATCAATGAACCACATCAAAACAATATATTAGCTGCAAACAGACCTATGACAATCTGAAGAATAATGAACCAGACAGAAAGTGATAAGAAAGATATGTGGGAGGAATAGGTGAGAGAGAGGACAGTACTTCGAATTAGCTACATTTCTGATTATGAAGTTGCAATACATTATGGTCAATATTTAATAGCAAGAAAATACCTCGCGTTTTTCATTCAAGACAAATGAACTGATGCCCACCCTGTGTGTGGCATTTGCAGGAATAGTATTTGGACTTTCAGGAATCCAATTTACAAGCATTAAATAGTTTGGTTCTGCATGGTGATACCAAAAACCTTCCTGCATAAAAAGTCATTAAAGAATGTCTGATCCATAAAATTGATACATGACAACATTAGTGGAATTCCTATTTTAATTATCCAAACCATTATCAATATTGTAAGCAATCGAGTCACCTTAACTAAAGCTTCAGCAAGATTGACTAGATGGATAGGTAATTTTATCCAAACTCCCTTCTTGCCCTGCAAGACAATGTAATGCAGATTCAAAATGATAACTTTTCTGGTAGACTATTCTTAGAGTTTTAGTTGGGTCTAATTCAATGCTATAAAATCGGTTTGTAACGCAGAACTGTACATGGAAGAAGCCTTGTATCTTTAACCATTATTTAACTAGTAATGTTATGTTTTTATCACTGAATGCAATCAAATAGGGTAATAGTAGTTTATAAGCAACAATTATCAAAGACTACCAGTTTCTTCCAATGTAAAATTGAAGCTCTAAGAATTGAGACGAACGTCGTAGAATCCATAAGCTGATCCAGTTCCACTATAACACCACCATAATAATCATCAGTTGATGTTAGTAGTTTACCCTGTTGAAATGGATCTTCTGATGCATTCTTTGATGAGATTGGTGAGTTTGACACGCATCGAATTGGAATCCAGGTTCTCACTCCAATCTTAACTATACACGAAAAAGTGAGAAAAAGAAGCATTAAATTCTATACATAAGACTGGTTTATTTTAGCAATTCTAAAGAAACTTGAACAGAATCATTTTAAACATTCCTTAAATTCTATCCAACACAGACACTTATGTTCAAAGATCAGGAAAATCAAGTCCCAATACTTGTGAGTAAAATTGAATTGAACAGGAAAATGAAACGCGAGTAATTCAAAGAGGCTAAGGTTGATTTGATTTGAAATTGAGGAACTTACCTCTTGAAGTGGGTCTTGTAATTGTTGTTCTTCTGGTTCCTGAAGATATAAAGCGTTGAGCAGCATTTGCGAGATAACAAGGTTTGTTGCTTGAAGGGAAGATGATAGAGAGCTTTGAGAGCGATCTCAGCATCGTGATTTGGAAGATGAAGGTTGAAAATTTGAGTAAACGAGGCTGGAATTATTTTTATTTTTACAGAGAAACTAATTCTAATTGTTTACGTGAACAAGACTTTAGGCGTGCTTTATTAAATTCTTTTAATTTTAATTTTTTATTGTTTTGGATAAAGTCTTTAGTTTTTCTTTTTTTAAATTTATCAAGTAATAATGAAAAAAAAAAAGGTGAAATTTGTTTAAAATTTTCAATTTAGGGAGAAAAACCGTAAAAAAAAAAAAAAACATTGAAGAAAATGATTCAGTTCAAATGTATCGACATGAATTTTTTCTTGTTTTTTTTATAAGATTTTCTTTAATTTTTAAAATGTATTAATTTTTTTTTCAAAATATCCTTAATTATATTATATATTTTTCTATATTATATAATAAATACAGTTACATATACAATAATTATTTTTCTCTCTTAAAGATAAATTTGTAAAATCATATAAAATAATTAATAAATTTATTATTTTAATAATTTTTTTTAATTTCCATAATTTATTCTTCGAGATTTTATATTTAAGGATAAAGATATACTTCTTAAGACAAAATTATAAATTACAAAAACTTTCTAAATAGTTCGGTTAATAATTCTGAAACTTACAAATTTAAACAATCTACCAACATAAATGACGAGTCTTAGGATTAAATTTATTTTTGGTCTTTATAAATATTTTAGTTTTCATTTTTAATCTATATTAAAATATAATATATTTTAATCCTTATAAAATTATTATACACGTAGTTTTAATTCTTTCTGTTAAATTAATGTGTACTTTTAAATGATCATTTTGGAGACAAGTTATAAAAAGTTAGAAAAAAAATTCAAAATTTGATTTCTAAATCAAAGTTTTAATTACTTTTATTATTATGTTTGAAAATTTAAAAAATTCTTATTTAATTCTTTTCATTTTAAAATTTGATAAAAAATTATTTTATAATATTCTAAACAAACATGAAAAAAATTATTCAAAATTTTAAGAATAATTAAACAGTTTTCAAAATTTTAGAAAATAATAAAGACTAAAATTACATGGATAAAAATTTGTAGTGATTAAAATATATCATTTTTTAATAGAGACTAAAATGAAAATTAAAATATTTATAGAGACCAAAAAGATATTTAACCTTATGATTTATATTAACAAATATTTGGTGGCTGTATTTAGATTTACCATAGACAAAATTGATTTTAATAGAATAAAATTAGATAGAATTGAATTTAGAATAATTAATTTATATTTAAATATATTTATGTAGAAGATGTAAAAGTGAATTAGAATAATATTTTTTGATATGAAAATGACTCAAAATCAATTTTAGAAATAAAAATTATAAATTTTAACTTCAAATAAATTAATTCTAGTAACAAAATCAATTCTATTTTTGAAAAATCAAATTTCATAAAATTATCCAGAATTAATAGATCTCTAAAATTGTAAAAGTAAAACCAAAGATACACGTGAAGGATTATGGATAATAATATCAAATTGATCATTGTGTAAGATCTTTCATGAGAACAAAGCTATAGCATCATTCTTCAAGATACTTCAAATGTTTGTCGATAATAAAATACATATTTGACACTCATATTAATAATCAGTCACCACGTCAACGACATTAATTTTTTTTTATAATGTTTCATATTTTAACTAGAATGAATCAAAATTTAAGGATGCAGAAATTGCTATCGTGACTTTGAGTTTTTGATGGTGGATTTCGAACTTAATATTTCAACATTTAAGTTAGTATGAGAGTGAAAAACGGTGTTTGAATGAGAAAAAACTTGAACAGGTGAAAATTTGTGTAATTTTTTTTAATAAGTAATTTGTATTTAGCAGAATTCGAATCTGAAACTTTGAGAGAAGCACATTTTCAAGAATCAAACGTTTCACCACTAAGCCACACATTGCGCACTTTCTTCTTTAAAAAAGATAGACGATTGACAACGGAACGCATGTGACAAGACGTGAATTATAGTCATCCATCAAATTGATTTGGACAGTTGGTAAGACTCTTGCGAAAAAGATTGTCTTTTTAGTGAAAGGAAATAGTCTATCTAATTTGCATTAGTATTTCGCTTGTTGAACAAGTGACTCCAAACACAAGAGGAGGGAATTATGTATATTTAAAAAATGGTGTCCAAATAATTTATTTTTTAATAAAATTAGAGTTTAAAACAAGTTTATAAGACAAACAAAGAATAAGATCTTATTTGTGATTAACCTTAAAAGTGCAATAATATATTTCTTAATTAATTGAATAACTTCTATGTATAAATCTCTTATCAAATGAATTTAGATCAATTAAAAGGTTGATTGCTTTAAGTAATGTTTGGGAGTTTGGATGATATGGAAAGGGAGGACTTTGAAAAAAGATTTTTTTTAAATATAAAAAAATCTTTAATATTTTTTGGAAAATGTTTTTTTATAAAATGATAAAATAATGTTTATCATTAACATGTTTTTAATTTTTGAAATACTATAATAACAAAAAATTTATTTGAACAATTTGTATAAACCCTTCAAGATCCTCCAAATCCCTCCTCCGATATAATTTTTTAATTCTCCCAAATTATGATGATTTTGGCTTGTGACTAAAAATAAATCTCTCAAAATTATCTCCGCCTAAATCATTCTATTCTTTCAACTCAATCATTCCTTTTTTTTCAAAACTCTCCCTCCATTCATTTCCAAACTCCCAAACACAGTCTAATCTTCACTTTTTGTTCATTGTATTTCTGGTGTAAATGTATATGATAATCATTCCAATTGTATATATTGTACAAAAATTCTACTAAGTTGAGTGATTTTATTTAACTCTGATTTAAAATTTTTTTTTTTATTGATCTTTTTGAAAACGATCTATTCAACGTCACTTCTAAATCATTTGAGTTCATATTCTCCTTCAAAAACAATTGTCTTAAAATAATAAAATACTTTTTCATAGATAAATGTTTTATTATATTGTTACTAGTTATGTATTCTTTGAGTCTTTGTGAAACTCCTTCAAATATATATTGATTCAACAACTTAGTAATTAATAATAATATTATTATTATGACAAAAAGTCTTATTATTAGTTTGCTATGTAGAGTCGGTCCAAAACTCAGATAAAATGAGAGAGTTTTGTTAGGAAGTTGATAGCCAACATAATTTTTTGTCAAATCTCTATTGTCGAGGAAAAGTAAGATGTATACCTACATTATTGGTCTTGATGATGAGTTGTGGGATATCCTTGAGGATGACATTGGCATTGAGGTCAATGGTGTCAGAATGGTTGTTGACAGAAAAACTCTCACACCAGCTCAGGAGAAATTATATAGAAAACATCATAGAGTTAGAGGTATTCTAATAGAATCTCTACCTCACTCTGAGTACATCATGATTATTGATAAGTATATTGCTAAGATTATCTTTGACTATTTATGTTCTACTTATGAAGGAAATCTTCAAGTAAAAAAGGATAAAGACAACCTTCTTGTACAAGATTATGAGTTATTCAAAATGAAGGATGATGATGATATTGAAACCATGTTCTCTAAGTTTCAAGTTCTAGTACCTTCAGGTAATGAACAAAAGCTACACTACATCTGACCATGTAAAGAAGATCTTGAGAAGTCTCCCTGTTAGATTCAGACCTAAGGTCATGGTTATTCATGAGATCAAAGTCTTGAATACGTTGAGTCTTGAAAGTCTGATAAGAAACTTTCAGAGCCATGAGATGGAATTGAATGCAGATGAGCATGTGAAGATATATAAATCATTGGATTTAAAGTATGCAACTGAGAAATCTAGTGGTAAAGCTCCTAGATCTACAAGAGTCTGCAAATCTGAAGAAACTTCTGATGAAGAAGTTTCTCATGATAAGTTTGGCGATGAGAATGTGGCCTTTATCATCAAAAGGAACAAGAGATTCTCTAGTAGAAGCGGTGGCTTTCAAAGGCTCTAGTTCTAGAGACAAAGATGATGACCAGAAGAACTGCTTCAACTGCAAGAAGCCTGGTCATTTTAGAGTTGAATGTTCTGATCTGCAGAAGGACAAATCAAAGAAAGGAAGCTTCCAGAAGTAAATTCAAGAAGAGTCTCATGGAAACATAGGAAGAACTTGATAGTGAAGATGGTTCAGATAAATATGAAGGAGAAGAAAATCTAGCATTGATGGCTCTCACATCACCAGATGGAGAATCAGAATCCAACTCTGGCTCAGAATTTGAAGATGAAGACGAGGTGTTTTCTAACTTATCTCGTTTTATTCCTATTAATTTTATTCGAGACCTCATGAGTCATTGCAAAGATAAAGCAAGACACATAAAATTTTTTAAAGAGAGATCATGATCTTTTTGAAAGAGGAATTAAAAATGTCTCAAGAAAAATTTGAATCTCTTAAAAAGATCATAATGCTCTTTTAAATAAGGATACTAATAAAAACTTGAATGAGCATGAGATGGCTCTTCAAAACTTTATCACAACAGGTCTTGAAAGAACCAAACTTGCTTCCATGATCTTTGGAGTAAGTAAGAGAAAAGGAGAAGGCTTGGGTTACAATGGAAAATGCTCTTAAGTTCAACTTCTAAAGAAACCCTTAGATTCTTCTTCTTTAAGAAATGCTCAAATAGTGCTGAAAATTTACTTTGTACCTCGTTCTAATAAAGGCAAGAACCTAACCTAATCAGAGCCTAAGATATATGAATCCAAGGTCTAGATCAAATTAGTTCCTGGAACCTCAAATTCAAAGGATCTGAAGGAATCAGTACCTAAGATTCAACAGTCAAAGGTTCAGAATAAATCAGAACCCAAAAATCCTCAGTCTAAGGTTCTAAAGAGAGTTAAGCCTAAGACGTACTGACCAAAGGTTCTGAAGGATTTAGAAACTAAAGTCGAGACTTATCCAAGACAAAAATTTTATAAGCAAAAATCTTGGAATGAGTCTAGACCTTTTTATCATGCAAAGGCTCAAAATAAAAGGAAGCCT